ACTCAAGATTAACTCTTCTAAATGCCTATTCATAATCTTTTCATCATTTTATAATAACACTGCCCTTCTCCTTATTATTATTATTATTATTATTATTATTATTATTATCATTACTACTAGTCTAATTCATAGCATTTCTACATGAAAACAGCCAAATAACTACTGCAATAATATACATCTGAAGTCACTGATTTCCCCTGCAAGCAAATGATTCTCAAAATGATTTCTCGCCACCAACTTAAACAACTCACTCCTACTATTAAAGCAACATCACTAAATATCCCGATTACTATTACTTCTCTTACTATTCTATTAATACTGTAACTCTACCTCAAAAGTATTATTATCACACACACACATAAGAGCGCAATACTTGAAATGCTACTTCTATGCACCCAGCCATTCATCTGAATTACTTTACTTCCCCAACTCCTTTTGTTCATCACCAGCACCACTTCAAACCATCTCATCTCATCTCATCTCACCCCATCCCACATTCTCATCCACCCAAAATCGCTTTCACTATATCCAAATAAATCTTAACTATAATCAACTTTTACCATTCATATCTATCATAACATCATACTACTAATAATAATGCCCTATCATTAATATCAATACCAACNTAATCAACTTTTACCATTCATATCTATCATAACATCATACTACTAATAATAATGCCCTATCATTAATATCAATACCAACCAAATAAACGAAACAATTAACTCACCTAACTAAAAACAGACGTAAAGTCGGAATAATTTCCACATCGCATAGAGTTGCAATTTCAGCAGCTGCATCACCTGCACCACCATTATTACTATTACTATTACTATTACTATTACTATCAATTGCCGTTGTAGCAGTCGCAGTCGAAATAAGGAGACCAATAGCAGCTGATGATGGCGATGCTGATGCTGCCGATGTAGTTGAGTAATTAAACGCAGAATAATGCAAACTAACATTTGCTGCTGCTGCGGCTACTGCATCACTAACCACAATTTTATGCAGCATACTTACTATTGCTGTTGTTGCTATTATTATTATGACGAGCACGATAGTGATGATGATCCGGATATGGATATGGATATGGATGTGGATACAGATATGGATGTGGATACAGATATGAATATGAATAAAAACTAGAACTGTTGATGTTGCTGTCGTTAGTCCAAATGATGTTAACAGTCTTATTAAGACCACATAAATTGCCTGCCTTAATTATCAATAACAATAATATAGGTAATTATAAATTCATATGTTCGTACTT